GGGGTGGGAATCAGGATTTTAGAGATGCTTAGGTGGGGCACGGCCAAGAAAAGGTTGGGAACCACTGATAATAAATAAATAAATAATAATAATAATAATAATAATAATAATAATATATTTATACCCCGCTCATCCAGCTGGGTTTCCCCAGCCACTCTGGGCGGCTTCCAACAGAATATTAAAATACAATAGTCTATTAAACATTAAAAGCTTCCCTACACAGGGCTGCCTTCAGATGTCTTCTAAAAGTCTGGTAGTTGTTTTTCTCTTTGACATCTGGTGGGAGGGCGTTCCACAGGGCAGGTGCCACCACCGAGAAGGCCCTCTACCTGGTTCCCTGTAACTTGGTTTCTCGCAGTGAGGGAACCGCCAGAAGGCCCTCGGCGCTGGACCTCAGTGTCCAGACTGAACGATGGGGGTGGAGATGCTCCTTCAGGTCTACTGGGCCTTTGAGGCCGTTTAGGGCTTTAAAGGTCAGCACCACCACTTTGAATTGTGCTCAGAAATTAATCATGCCGGGGAGCAAAACATTAGGTAGTCTTCATATCCTTTCTGGCTATGCTGTTTTACGATTTTATTCGGTTGATCGTTGTGTAACATTCCTGCAGCCCTTTCCAGAAGGAAGTTCTGATATGTATATTTATTGGATGAAGGCAGCTGATAAAACAGCAGGATTACAAAGGAACAGGCAATTGACTCCAAGTAGATGGGAGTTCTTCCTATTGCAATTTTCCTCCAGGCATATGAGTGGGCGTTTCTCGTGAAATCTTACATAGGAAAAGCTGCAACTACATAAACAATCCTTACCAGTTTCGAAGGACATTATTTTGGGTGGCAACGCATACATGCTGTCAGTGAGCCTAATATTCCTAACAAAGACACCAGTCTTAACCTCTCTGCACCACGTAAACAGTAAACAACACATTCTTCATTCTCATGTGCTGTGTTCACTTTCAATTTCACCCACGTCCTCCTTCAGGTGCCATCCTCTTCTTCAGCCTGGGAACACACTGAAGCTGGGATCGACGGTATGTACAGAAAGATTTCAATAAGATCACAAGATGTAGGTCACAACATGATGGAAGATTGGGAAAAATTATGAAAAACTGATTTAAAATTTACAGATTGTTCCCTATTGAAGGAGAATTACATGAAGATGATGTATAGATAGCACACAACACCAGTGCAGTTAGGGAAAATGTACAAAACTAGTTCAAATATATGTTGGAAGTGTAAGGAAAAGGAAGGGACATTTTATCATATGTGGTGGGATTGTAATGTAACTAAAAATTTTTGGGAAATGATATACAATGAATTGAAGAAAATGTTCCATTTAACATTTGTTTAAAAAACCCGAGGCATTTTCATTGGGGATTGTAGAGAAAGACCTGCCGAAAAAGCTGAAAAACATCTTCATGTATGCGACAACGGCCGTGAGAGTTCTGGTAGCACTAGGATGGAAGACGGAAGAAATCCCAACTTAAGAATCATGGCAAGAAAAAGTGACGGACTATGCAGAACTGGCAAAACTGACATATAAGCTAAGGGACAAGGATAACTGTGACTTTAAGGATGAATGGGAACCCTTTACAAAGTATCTGAAGACGCAACAAAGTGAACTGGACTCCTTGGCAGGTTTTGAATAAACATTCACAAACTTTTTATTGATAATAATCAGCTAAATAGTTTGAGGATGTGTACAACTTTGTAACATGCAGAAAACAGCATTCTCAGAGAAACCAAAGACTGGAACGGAGGGAAGGTGGGGGGGGGGAAATGGGGGGTTAAACAAGGTTGATATGTTTTGGGATAATATGTCTTGTTTAAATTTTGAATAAAAATTTTTTAAAAAAAGAAAAAGATTTCAATATGATATGCCACAAGATCACCCCTCAGGCAGGAGTTCAGTTACAAGGGCTCTGTGTAGACACAAAAAGGCGCACTCTCAAACTCTTGAAACCACACGCAGAGGTGGATCTACTGTAAAACTAATGAAGTTTCAGGGCCTTCAGTCCTGGAGGGGCCCCAGTAGCAAATTTAGTCCACATTAGTTAAAACGTTGGGGTCTAGTATGACTCAAATTGATTAATTTTTTGTTGTATATATTTCAAAAATCCCAAAGTTTGAGAGTTAGTAGCACAGATGTTGTAAATGTGGAGTGTTGCAGTGAGTTGGCTATGTAATTCTTTCCCCTTTTTAACAAATTTCCTATATTTTATATCCCTCCCCTCAATGTATGGATTTCCCGTGTGGCTTACAGTGGAAGAAACATGGAGAAGTACACCATTATTATTATTATTATTATTACTATTATTTATTAAATGTGTATACCGTTGTATATATCAAGATCACAGGGCAGTACACAACATAAAAATACAAAATGAAACACAAAATACCGTATGTAACCAAACAAAAACAAACCAATAACACCCACACCCACAAACAAACATGTTACTCAGCCAAAGACCTGGTAATAGAGAAATATTTTTGCTGGCGCTTAAAGATATGTAAGGAAGGCGCCAAGCGAGCCTCCCTGGGGAGAGCATTGTACAAATGGGGAGCCACCGCAGTAAAGGCCCCATTCTGGCGTTGCTGCCCTCTGGAGGCCTTGCAGAGGAAGAAGGGCTTGAGATGATTGAGGTGGTCCTTGAGATATTTCAGTTGAGTGATAGAAAACATCACCAAAATTCCAGTTTTAATTATAGGAACCCCCCCCCCTCCTGGGAGGAAAGCTTTGTCTGCCGCCTGGCCTGGCCTGCGCTCTCAAGCCAGCCTGCTGCTCTCAGATGAAGTGAGAGTTAGTGGCAGTGGGTTTTTCTACGTCAAAATATGCTGGGATGCACCTCCCTCAGAAGACCCACCTCAGAGCCCAAAGAGGCTATATTTCAGCTTTTTTGAGGGAGGGGGCTCCTCGCGAGCCAGAGTCAGCCTCTGTCAGGCTCCATTCACAGGGCTTCCACCTCCATCACACAGGTGGTGGGCTGCCTCTTCCTCCTGGGAGAAATATGTGACCCACGTGTGTGAAGGCAAAGGTGGAGGCAGCCCTGCAACGGAGCCTGTCAGAGCCTGTTGATGCTCAGAAGAAGGTCCACAGACCTTTTCCAATACACATAAATTTTTATTTATTCCCCACCCTTCCTGTTTCAGAAAACCGGGCTCAGGGCGGCTAACAACAAATTTAAAACACGTAATTGATGCAAAAACAAACAAACAAAAAGCATAAAATACAGTATAAAACGTGAATAACAAAAAATTCAGAATTCAAAAATCAATTTGGGGGGAAATCCATCCAATAAACATTAGATGATCACCAGGGCTAGCTGGCTGAATTAGTCCTAATTGGGCCAGCGAGGAGGTCAGGAGCGAATTAGCTGTGGGGCCCCAGAGTGGGTAATCTTCATAAAAAGGGGAGGGGGAGGGAAGAAAGGGAAATAAAAGATCAGACTGAATTCAAATTAAAGGCCAGGCGGAATAGCTCTGTCTTACAGGCCCTGTGGAAGGAGGTTAAATCCTGCAGGGCCCTGGTCTCATGGGGCAGAGCATTCCACCAGGTCGAAGCCATCACTGAGAAGGCCCTGGCGGAGGATAATCTGACTTCCTTAGGGCCCAGGACTTCTAAACTATGATTATTCATGGACCTTAAGGTCCTCTGCGGGGCATACCAGGAGAGGCGGTCCATTGGTCTTGATTCCATTCTCAGGGTCTGATACACAGTCTTTACACATCAGTATTAATTAAACACCTCAAACCCATTACAGTACCCCCTTCTAATACACACTGAGACTATCTCAGAGCACATCCCAGTTATAACGTACAAGTTCTAATAAATAGGCTTCCTCAACCTCGGCCTCCAGATGTTTTGAGACTCCAATTCCCATCATCCCTGACCACTGGTCCTGCTAGCTAGGGATCATGGGAGTTGTAGGCCAAAAACAATGGGAGGGCCAAGGTTGAGGAAGCCTGTAATAAATGTTAATATCTACTAAACCCAAACATTTAGTGCCATACATCCTTTACCTTATGCTATGTGACATTTCTATTTAAATGTAGGTTGTTTAATTTCTCAGTTTAATTTGTTTCACGGAATTTATATACCCCTTGATTGTAGTAAAACCTCTAAGCTGTTTATAAGTAATGTTAAAACGATCAATAAGCAACGTTCAAAAGCCATTCAAATTAACAGGAAAAGAACAGAAAAGACATCAGAATCTATGTGCCTGGATGGGCTTACCTCAACAAAAATGTTTGAAGCAAGTGCCAAAAACCTGCCATAAGTAGCACTAGTTTGTAGCCAAAAGAAAGCATGTCAAACTATGGTTTGCCCAGATGCAAACTGCTGCTGTTACTACACCTTAATGAAGACGGGAGTGGCGGCGATTTAATTTATATCCCACCTTCCTCTCAAAGGAGCCCAGGCCAACAAACACATAAGGGATAAAACCTCTGAACACAACCAGTGTGGTGTGGTGGTTAGAGGGTTGGACTATACTTCTATTTTGAGTGTTATGCTTCCTTTTTGAGTGCTACGCTTCCGATTTGAGTGCCACACTTCTGTTTTGAGTGTTACGCTGAGGTTTGTCTGTTTTTGCTATTTATTTTGCATTTTTGTTTTGCGGCTTTTTTGTTTTGTTTTTGTGACTGTGTTCAGCTACTGATTGATTGATTGATTGATTGTGTGACTGCAGTACATTGTTTATTGCTTTCATTTTACGGATCAGTGGTCTCATCAGATAGTAACATTCATGTTAAATTGCTGTTTTAGGAATTGTTTTTAAAAGTCTGGAACGGATTAATCCATTTTGCATTCCTTTCTATGGGAAAGTGCGCCTTGGTTTTGGAATGCTTTGGTTTTGGAACGGACTTCTGGAACGGATTAAGTTTGAGAACCAAGGTATTGATAATGTATTGATAATGAATCCTAAGAATCACTGTCTGGTTAATGCAAATAAAATCTTTTGGGTGGTCATACATTTCTCCACAAATCTCCACTGGTACTTTTTTCAAAGTCTGGTGACTATTTCTGCCAGTTCTTGTTGTCGTTTCTCACTTTTCCGTATGTTCCTCCGACCTCGGAGCAACTCAAATGGCCTTTTCAAAGAGTAATCCAAATTGAGCAGAAGGTTTGCAAAAAAACTGACCTTCTCTGCTGTGAAACTCCTCTCCTTGTTGACCAAGAAGCTCGTGAAAAGATCAGGATCTCCATCAAGTTCCAGGAGGCTTTGTATATTATCTTTCGCAGCATACTCAGCAAATTCTGACTCGTGGTCGTTGTAAATTTGCAGTAACGTTTTCTCGGCTTGCGTCCCTTGTTGGTGTCTTCTGCCATTGCCCTGCCTCACATTTGGGTTTGCTGCCTGGCTTTCCTCAAGTTTTCTTTGCTGTCGATTATCTTCCTCACACTGCAAAATCCAGCTCAGGCGGCAAGGCCAACAGTTGGCAAGAACAACCCAGTCTATCGCCTCTTTTATTTTTTCTTTATGTTCGGCTTCAGTCTCCGATGTCACCTTGGTCATGGAACAGATGGTCAGGACTGTGCTCAGCACCCTTTTCAGTTGGGCAGAATTCCCTGGGATGTACCTGTGATTCTTCAACTGATCACGGATAAATATAATTTCCTTATTGTTGACTTCTTCATCCTTAGGGGTCATCTGCGGCAGGGAGAAGGGCAAGGACACAATTCGGTCTAAGTACAAGTAGCCATTCATGTTTTTATTTTTTTGGATACATTCCACAAGGATGCTTGTATCGGCAGCCAAGATGGAGATAAATGGGGCATCCTTGTCGGAAAGAAGTATATTGATGGCGTCCAGAACACCTACCACTTTGTCCTGAGTGCACTTGTCCAAATTGGTGATCTTCAGGACCACCCGAATCTCTCGTTTCTCTATCCATCCCAGGAACTGGAGGAACTTTGTGATTGTTTTCACCTCTTCCTTCACAACGTGCATGAAGCCCAGCTGGGCACTGAGAGCCTTTTTGTCCATTTCTGTCAGAAGTTCCTTTTTCAATGTGAAGTAGAAGTTTTTACAAGCAAGTATTAAAGGAGAAATCAACGTAAGACTCCCTGCTATAGCCACGAATCCGAAGATCTCCTGGAACGCATCTTTCATTAGGTTGCTGCATGCTGCTAAAAGAATAAGCAAACCTGATACAATGGGAATGACGAGCCCCCTCCTTCCTTTAAAAAACCTTTTCTCACCTTTCTCCATAGCTTTGCAACCAAAGGCCCTAAAAAGGCTAAAATGAAGCTTATTCTTTCCTTCAATTTCATCAAGCAGCGTAGTAACAAGGCCAGCCCAGATACGGTCACATCCTACAAACTCCCAGGCATCAAAATTGATGAAGATGTACCGGATAGAATCGACTTCTTTCGTGCTGTGACTTTTGATCTCTTTGGAATCGGAAACCGGGTAACAAAAAATCATGCGCAAAGCCAGCCAAAGTTGAGAACACATTCCTCCATTTCTCCATCCGCACTTCCTGTTACTTTCCCCCTCTGTAACATAAAGGAAGAAGCACAACATTTGTACCAGCACAACATTTGCTGCAGGTCAGAGGACCGGGAGGGCCTTTTTGTGGTCATCCCTTAGGAACATATCAAGCTGCCTTATATTGAATCAGATCATTGGCCTATGTAGCTCAGTATTGTCTACACTGACTGGCAGCAGCTCTCCAGCATTTCAGGCAGGGGACATTCCTAGCCCTACCTGGAGATACCAGGGATTAAACCAATATTGACAATATTCAAATTTAGGAACCGAATGGACTTTATCTCCTGACTATCCATTGGACTTTAATTTCTCTTGATATGTTCTGTTTGCATGATGTGTTGGTCTATGGAATTACACTTTGTGAGATATTATAGGTTGAATTGTGTTTGAAATAGGAGTTACATAGTCAAAAACAGCCTGTTACGTTGTGTGTGTTGTTACCAGGATTGTATTTAGGTCACCTAAGGTTTAGTAGTGTCTTGCATGTGCTTAATAATAATACAGTGATACCTTAGGTTACATACGCGTCAGGTTACATACGCTTCAGGTTACACACTCCGCTAACCCAGAAATAGTGCTTCAGGTTAAGAACTTTGCTTCAGGATGTGAACAGAAATCATGCTCCGGCGGCGTGGCAGCAGCAGGAGGCCCCATTAGCTAAAGTGGTGCTTCAGGTTAAGAACAGTTTCAGGTTAAGTACAGACCTCCGGAACGAATTAAGTACTTAACCTGAGGTACCACTGTAGTGTGCTGGTCAGGGGCAGCAAAATGGGAGGGTGCCCCTGCTGAAGCCTCACTTACTAGGATCACCTGATTGCAGTTTCTGGGTTCCAGTGGGATCTTGTGAGAGGTCTCGCGGGAACCCAGAGACCACTGCTATTTCTTGCTTCTCCAACAGGAGCACCACGCCTTGGAATTCTTCCACCCAAGGTGGCTGCCTCCTTCTGCTGGCTAACAAGCTGGTTTGGGACGGGAGCACATTATATTTAATCTACACTGTTTTATTTTGTCTATATTTAGATTGCGTACGTGTTTGGCCCATAAGCGTAATGCTGGTGGTCAACAAAAGAGGTTTAAAGACTGTCTCAAGGCAAATCTACAAAAATGTAGTATAAACACTGACAACAGGGAAACACTGGCCTGCGAGCGCTTCAGTTGGAGAACAGCCTTTAGCAAAGGTGTCATGGGCTTTGAAGACACTTGAACTCAGGACGCAAGGGAGAAACGTGCTAAGAGGAAGGAACAGCTTGGCAAATCCACACCGTGATCAACTCCCACCTGGAAACCAATGTCCCCACTGTGGAAGGACGTGTGGATCCAGAATTGGCCTCCACAGTCACTTAGGGACTCCTTGTTAAAACCATGTTTATGGAAGTCAATCTTCCTCGGCTACGAGGGATTGAAGAAGAAGAAGACAGGTGACTATGCCACTTTTAGAAATTATTTTTGCTTCTGCGTACTAAATATTGCATTTACCTGGCACCAAACATTTGACTTCCTGGGTGCCAAATCGTCAAAAAGAGGAAAGGGCCTGTGTTTTGTCAATTCACAGGAGATTCTTAATGTCTGGGTCATTGGGTCAAAAGAGTCTTGTATTGCAGAGGTTTGGACTAGATGACTCCTGTGGTATTTCCAACTCTACAGTTCTATGAGTCTATGATTTTATGGCTCCACGCTCCTTACATCCTGCCTCCTCCCTCTCTGGGCTTTTTTCATGTGGCTTTGATGGTTGTCATGGGAACTGGTGGTACTTACTTTCCATTTCCATTTCAATTTTATCTAAGAGTCGTCTTTTGTTTCGCCCCCACGGCGCGTAGAATCCCACCGTCACTGGTACCGTAACATGTCTTAGAGTGTTTGCCAGGGCTTCACAGTAAATGTCTTCATTGATTCCATCTGTAGAATTGTCTTTTCCTAGAGGAAATAAAGCAAAGAAGTTACTAATTTTTAACCTATGTCCCCACCCTATGTGGAAGGACGTGTGGATCCAGAATTGGCCTCCACAGGCATTTACAGACTCACTTTTAAAACTGTGTTTATGAAAGACATTATTACGCGGCTACAAGTGATCGCCAGAGAATAAGAGTGATTTGGTATGTTTTTCATTCAGAAAACATCTCATTGTCAAAGGCAAGAGGCTAAATCAGGGGTCAGCAAACTTTTTCAGCAGGGGGCCGGTCCACTGTCCCTCAGACCTTGTGGGGGGGGGGCGGACTATATTTTGGAAAAAAAATGAATTCTTATGCCCCACAAATAACCCAGAGGTGCATTTTAAATAAAAGCACACATTCTACTCATGTAAAAACACACTAATTCCTGGACCGCCTGCGGGCTAGATTTAGAAAGTGATTGGGCTGGATCCGGCCCACGGGCCTTGGTTTGCCTACCCATGGGCTAAGTAGTCCTCTAACACTAGGGACACCTCACCTCAGGTAGATGAATAGAATCACTTTGAAGAGCTGCAAGGGCAAGTTGGATTTCCCTTTTTGTCCATTAAGGCGCTGGGCCAACACTGAGAACACCAACATCAAGGCATGCCTGGATGACAGGGGCAGGGGCTTGGCCTTTTAGCAACCTCAAATAGCCCCCCGCTCAACTCTGCCCCCTCTGCACCCATGAGACATGCAATGCCGTGGATTGTGGGTAAACTCACACCAGGAACTATTCTTGAAATCTGGGTAATAGATGTTGGTCATAACATAGGCATGGAAGCATGGGAACGATTGTGGAATATGGATATGAAATTTACAGCATGTTACGGTTTAAGAGAAAATTCTATGAAAATGATATATTGTTGGTATCTAACACAGAGTAAACTGGCAAAAATGTATCAATCTAAATCAAACAAGTGTTGGAAATGTAAAGAGAAAGAAGGTTCTTTTTTTACCCTATGTGGTGGTGTTGTAGTAAGATTAAAGCTTACTGGGAAATGATATATAATGAATTGAAAAGGATGTTCAAAATAAGTTTTGTAAAAAGAAATAGAAGAAGAAGAAGAAGAAGAAGCTTTTCTTTTGGGAATTATAGGGACAGAACTACCTAAATTGTATAGAAATTTATTTATGCGTGCTACTACAGCAGCAAGAATGCTACTGAAAGAAGCAGAAGTCCCAGCAAAGGAAGAATGGATACAAAAAATTATGGAATATGCAGCAATGGCGAAACTTACTGGAAGAATAAGAAATCAAAATAACAAACTTTTTATAAAAGAATGGAAACGGTTGATTGAATATTTACAGATAAATTGCAAACAGATAAAAACATTGGCAGGATTATTGTAATAACCTGCAGTTTCATAAGAGTATTTATTTAAAGTAGATAATTAAATGAGCAAATTGAATGAATTTGGATATGCAGAAGATATTAAAAAATAAATTTAAGGAACCGCAGAAAGAGAGGGAAGGAAGTCAAACTTTGAAATGTTCAATTGATTGTAAAACTAATAATAATAATAATAATAATAATAATAATAATAAATTATGTATTTCTACCCTGCCCATCTGGCTGGGTTTCCCCAGCCACTCTGGGCAGCTTCCAGCAAAATATTACAATACAATAATTCATCATATATTAAAAGCTTCCCTAAACGGCTGCCAAAAGTCAGATAGTTGAATAATAATAATTTATTATTAATTAAATGTATAAACATGAAAAAGTATAAATAAAACCTTTATTTTAAAAAAGGAACTATTCCTGAAATGACCACAAAGGCCCACTTCTTCCAGAGCCCCAGGACCCCAGCACCTGAGCAGAAAAAGCACAGAAAATTGATTTAGTAATAACAGCACACCTGGATGGTCTTCCAGCAGTGATTGACGCTCCTTGTCACTCATTTTTGCGCCCAAAAGCCTCACCTTCAGCAGCTGCTCAACTCTGTCAAGTAAATACACTGAATGAATAGACCTCCCTCGTGGGTTGGCCCCCAGTTTGTACGGAAGGTTGCTTTGAAGAAAGGGTAGACAGTGGTGGTCTTCACACATACCCCCTTCCTGAAACTGGGCTGCCTACAGGTACCAGCACTCCCCACTCCCCTCACAGGCTCCTTTCTGAGTTGGCAGTGGCAGAGTGTGGTGAGCAAATGGTTGCAAATCCCTAGACAGGAGGGAACAATGGGGAGAAGAGAAAATGGAGACGATTCATAGCCTCCCTGCTCCACGTGGGGCTGCCTTCAAGAGTGCTCTCGGGACGTGGACATACTATCACAGGGCCATTCAGCTTCCACAAAGGAGTCGTTGGCAACGGGTTTTTAAAAAAATATAAAACAAGGAGGATCTGCAGGTTGGCATTCAGAAAAGGCAGAAAATCAGCTGGGTTATTCATGGAGAGGAGAGGAGATAGAATCGTAGACTTGGAAGGAAGGGAATGCCCCTTGTCCAAACCCTCTGCAATGCAGGAATCTCACCTAAAGCATCCATGACAGACATCCAAGCTTTGCCTAAAAGCCTGCAATGAAGGAACTTGCTGAACTTCTTATAGCCAGACAGTCTTATAGT